TAAATCGGAACCCTTATTCATTAGTTTAATTTGGTGTAAGCTTATATAAATATTTTGAAAAGCAAGTTATTAATACATTGAGAAAAACTTGGAGTATTCACACCATTTGACACAGAAACACACGATAGTTGACCCTTGAATGACACAGGAGTTAGGGGCGCCAATCCCCCCCCCTGCACAGTGGCCAATCCATGTATAATTTTCGACCCCTCCAAAACTTAACTTCTCATAGCCTACTGTTCAGTGGAAGCTTTGCCAATAACATAAACAGTCAATTGACACATATTTTGTATGCTATATGTATTATATGTGGTATTCCTACATTAAAATAAGGAACAGAAAAGAAAATGCTATGAAGAAAATCATAAGAGAAAATATATTTACTATGCAATGAGTGGAAGCAAATCATCATAATGTTCTTCATCCTCATCCTCTTCATGTTGAGTAGTTTGAGGAGGAGGAGGAAGAGAAGGAGTTGGTCTTGCTGTCTTCGGGGTGGCAGAAGTAGAAGAAAATTGGTGGATAAGTGGACCCGTGTAGTTCAACACTGTGTTGTTCAAGGTTCAACTGTACTATATTTTTCCCTACCAAAAAATTAAGCTCAACACAAAGATACCTCATTTAAATTATTTATAAAAATTATAATTATTTATATAGAAAATGTCATCATTGGAAAAATTACAGTCAGCCTTAATACCCAGCAAAATAAAAACATATAATTATTTTATTTGTTCTAGTAATTTTAACAAGCCTTGTAAAAGTGTGCCATATGTTATGAGTTGTAAAACACGTTCTCATTCTTCATCTTTTTCACATAAAAAACTCTGAGGAAAGGAGAGTAAACATTATTTAGACTTTACAGGTACAGAAAATTCACCTCAGAGAATTAAGTAATTTGGGCAAGATCACCAAAACTTAGGAGTGGAATTGGCAGAGACTCCAGACTTGATTTTTTAAGGAAATTCCTATGATATTAATATTAACCTGCACTGCAAGCCTAACAGGACTTAATGGATCCAGAAAAGTTGACTGTCAATGAGGAATGGGGGAGCAATAAAAGAAGTGGGTCAGGGCATCTTAGAAGTGCCAGGCACCTGGTGAGTTATCCACCTGGAGTAGAGTAAGGGGAACAGGCCCAAGGAGGGCAGGCCCAGAAACCAGGAGAGGATGGAATTGAGGGGATAGAGAAGTAAAACACTAAAGGAAAAGATCAGGGGACATTAAAGAGAAGCTGGCTCTTGACAGTTTACACTGTGGTCCTCTTAAGCACCATAATCTATTCTTCCTTCCATATTAATTGCGTTTGGGCTGAATGCACAGCAAATCTACATTTCCCAGCCACCCTTTCAGTTATATTTGGCAACAATCTGAGCCCTCCCCAGTGGAATGTGAGCATGTACGGTGTGTGTGTCTTCATGTGCAAGCCTTACCACAAAGTGTGTGGCTTCTCCCCACGTTCTCCTCCTTTCCCACCTGCTAGAAACCAGACAGGGTAGAACCAAGTGATATTAAGAAATGAGGTCCCCAAATGACTATGTAAGGCAGATTGCCTACCAGCTGAAACTCTCACTTTCGTCTGTCATGAGCAAGAGAAATGTATGTCTTTTTTTCCAAGACACATAATTTTTAAAAAATTATATCAACTTTGTCTTATCTTCATTAAGGCAGGCGTAGGCTAGCATTTACATGCTATGCCTACACCCAATTTGATACTTTACTAGTGTCTGATTGAATACTCATAACAATCCTGCAAGGTGAGTATGACTGTTCTTATTTTACAGAGGAGGAAACTGAGTCAAAAGAAAGGTTAACTCACTTGACGAAGGCTCTATGAGAGACAGTGAAATGTAATGGTGGGAAGTCGAGTTTTGACCATGGTCCCAAAGTTTGGCTGTCCCCTTCAACAGAATGTAACTTTTAATCTCTCCAAGCCTCATTTTCTCCCTCTGTAAATTGGGGATAATGATAGAACCTGTCTCACACGGTTCTTGGGAGGCTAAATCAGATAATATATCTAAAGTGCCTGACATATAGTAAGAGTTAAATAAATGCTGATGTCTTTATTCCAGGGATAGTAAGTGGTCGAGGTAAGATTCAAACCCAATTCTCTGAAGCTCCAAAACCCATAATCTTGTCACCCAGGGAGTCAACTCTGGTGCCCAAATCTGGTTCTCCTCTGTGCTGATTCCTGCCTTTGGAGTGTATTTTTCCCTTTTTTCCCCACACCTATAGATGCTCTCATTCTAGTATATTGCTTGAGAGACCATGGGCCTGATATTACATCTGCTACTGAAACTAACAGTGGTCGTAAAGAACATGCAGCTTCCTGCCATTAGAAAGATTTTCCTCTGTATCCAGGGAAAGATGTTTCATCCATTTAATACACAGCACAGTTATATAGGTCCTCAAGTCAAAATGCTCTAAAATATATATTTTAAAAAACATAGTTAAGATGTCATACTTTTCCCTACAGTACTTTAGGGCTAAATGTGCCACAGCATTTGTCTCTGTTTTCTTGTCCTGGGGTCCCTCTTCTTGCTTCCTAACCATTCATCTGCTGGCTGCTCTTGGTCCCTTTTCTGTAAACACACCAATGTGGCTATTCAAAGGGACACACACCACCTGAAGAAATCGACTTCCAAAACTGTACGTGCAATTGCCTGATATCGGCCTCCCCTTTTATTTTTAGTCCTTTTACTCACCTAAGGGAGAGCTTATCAGCAGCAGCAAAAGAAATCAGGGTTGGAGAGATGCGGATCAAAGGACACACAATTTCAGTTAAATAGGAAGAAAAAGTCCAAGAGGTCTATTGTACAACATGGTGTCTATAGTTAATAACAATGTCATGTATCCTTGAAAATTGCTATGGGAGTAGATTTTGAATGTTTCCCATGCACAAAATAATGATACATATGTGAGGTAGTATATATGTTAATTAGCTCAATTTAGCCATTCCATAATATATACATATTTCAAAACATCATATTGTACACAACAAATGCATACAATTTGTATTTGTCAATTAAAAACATTTAGGAAGCCATGTTATATTCTTCTAGAGCAGCCCTGTCCCATAGAGCTTTCTGCAATGATGGAAATGATTTATATCTGTGCTTTACTGGCCAATATAGTAGCCAGTAGCCATTGGTGGCTATTGAGCACTTGTAATGTCACGTGAGTTTAACTTTTAACTGAATTAATAATTGCAGAATATTTAATTTTTATTCATTTAAATTTAAATGGCAACATATAGTTAGTGGCTACTTATTGACAGCACATTTCTAAAGTCCAGATCACCACTGTCCAATAGGAAATATGATATGAGCCACATATGCATTTTAAAATTTTCTAGTAGCCACATTAAAAAGTTATAAAAAGAAAAAAATGCAGGTGAAAGTTATTTTAATAATATATATTATTTATTTTTATATTATGCAATCACCATGTACAATACAATAAATATGTAATTAATATTAACATTTTATTAGATATTTAATTTTTTTTGAGACAGGGTCTCATTCTGTTGCCTGGGTTATAGTGCAGTGGCATCATCATAACCCTCTGCAACCTCAACCTCTTGGACTCTAGCAATCTTCCTGCCCCCCTAAGTAGCTAGGACTACAGACATGTGTCACGATTCATCAGTAATTTTTAATTTTTTTGTAGAGATGGAGTCTTACTATGCTGTTTCCAGCTGAACTCAAACCCCTGGGCTCAATTAATCCTACCACCATGGCCTCCCAAAGTCCTGGAATTACAAGCATGAGCCACCACACCACCCTAATTTTTTTATACTAAGTCTTTGGAAATCTCTTGTATACTTTTAATTGCATCTCATTTCAAACTAATCAGATTTCAGGCGATCAAAAGATACATGTGGCTAGCGGCTACCATGTTGGATATTGTGGCCTTATCCCATTAAAATATATACTTCTAAGTGGCAGAGGTCTGTGTTATTCATCAATAAATCCCTTGCTTTCAACATAGTGCTGGCCCATAATATGTCTTTAATAAATGTGTTTATTGACTCCCATTCACAGTGATCAATTCTCACTCTGGATTTATAGTTAAACCAAATTATGCCAACAAAAATATATTAAGCTCTTATGTTAGCTCTCCCATTTAGAGTTAGATCTATTTTATTTTTACAAGTAACTAACAAATATTATGAATTTCCATGTATATTGTCAAGTCTAATACTTGAGAGCAGGAATCAGCAAACTTTTTTTGGTAATAGGGCCAGAGAGTAAATATTTTAAGCTTTGCATATAATATAGGTTCTGTGGCAACTACTCAACTCTGCTGCTATAGGGCAAAAGTGCCATAAACGATATATAAATGAATGCATGTGGCTGTGTTCCAATAAAACTTTATTTACAAAAACAGGCATCATGGAGAATGTGGGCCTGAGCACTGGACTTTGCCAGCACCTTCTTTAGAGTAAGGTCTGCACTTTAAATTTGTCTTTAAAGCTTCCAATATAGTACTACATAAGCTGGAAATGCTCAATATATGAATGTTGACTAAATATGAGCAGAAAATATTCTGCATCTGTTTAAAACTATCAATTCATGTATTCATTCATTCATAAAACATTTATTACATGTTTAAATGGCTGCATCCTCAGCATTTTGCGCCATGCCGGACACATAATAAGTGATTAACAAATGTTTATTAATGACTAATAAATGGATTAAATGGCCTGCTAAAGGGCTGAAGGAATCCAGGATGACTTCAAAAAAGTGGTGGTATTTAAATGAATATTAAAAGTGAGTAAGAGATATTGGAGACACCTGATGAAAACTACCTCAGTTAGGTGATCAAGGTCAACCTCAGTAGTCGTAAATCATGTTGATAGTATGTATTGTTGAGGTGATATGATGAAAATGGCACTTTACCTCTGTGTTTTTCCTCCCAATAACTCATAATCTCGGTCTTATTATGTGAAACACATCAGATTAATTCCAATAGAGAGGCATCCTACAGAATACCTGACCAGTACTCCCCAGATTGTCAAGGTTATCAAAAACAAGGAACAAGTTCTCACCACCAATTCTGCAGCTAGATGAGGTGGATTTCTACTGTGACCCTAAACATGTCATCTTCAGTCGTCTCTCCGTCTCTGCTGATCTTGAGTCCCGCATCTGTGTGGTTGGGGAGAATGGGGCTGGGAAGTCCACCATGCTGAAGCTGCTTATGGGGGACCTGGCACCTGTTCGAGGCATCAGAGATGCTCATAGGAATCTGAAGATTGGCTATTTCAGCCAGCACCATGTGGAGCAGCTGGACCTGAATGTCAGTGCTGTGGAATTGCTGGCACGCAAGTTTGCTGGGCAGCCCGAGGAGGAATATCGTCACCAGCTGGGCTGGTATGGCATCTCTGGAGAACTGGCCATGCGCCCTGTTGCCAGCTTATCTGGGGGTCAGAAGAGCCGAGTGGCCTTTGCTCAGATGACCATGCCGTGCCCCAACTTCTATATTCTGGATGAACCCACAAACCACCTGGACATGGAGACAATCGAGGCTCTGGGTCGTGCTCTCACGATGAACGCTTCATCAGGCTGGTGTGCCGGGAGTTGTGGGTGTGTGAAGGAGGTGGCGTCACCCGGGTTGAAGGAGGATTTGACCAGTATCGAGCCCTCCTCCAGGAACAGTTCCACCGTGAGGGCTTCCTCTAGGGCCACCAGGCTGAGGACTGTGCCCAGGACATTGACTGGTCTCAGACACTGGGCCACCATGTAGGCAACCAACTCCAGGCTGAGGGCTTTACCCGACTTGGGGACAGCCTTATTCCCAAATGTCTCTCCTTTTGACTGGAGCATCCTCTACACAACCTGGGGAACCCCATCCAAGTATCTGTGAGGACTGGTCTCCCAGGGGGAAGGGGTTGGGGAGGGGGTGTGCCCTCTGGGGTTATAGATTCCCCCACTGCCCCAGCTCTGCCTGGGCCCCAAGTGGCTGGTATGTAAATTAAATTTCCCCCTGCAAAAAAAAAAAAAAAAAAAGTCTGAGAAACCGTCACCACCAAGAGGAGCCTAAGGAGACACGTTGAGACTAAAGAGAATTTAAACATTGTATTTTGGATGGGATCCTGGGGCAGAAAAGGGGCATTCTGTAAAGACTATGGAAGTCTAAATAATAATGTACCACTATCTGTTGGTTCATTAATTGTGACAAATTTCCCATACTAATGTAAGATGTTAATAATAGGCACCACTGGGCATGGGGTATAGAGAAACCCTCTGTACTCTCCGCTAATTTTTTTCTATAATTATAGAAGTATTTTAAAAATAAAGTCTATTGGCTGGTTCGAGCGCAGTGGTGTTTACAACTAATTGACCACAACCAGTGACAAATTCCTTTGTTCCTTTTCCACTCCCACCACTTTGCTTGACTAGGCTTAAAAACCAAAACCAAAAAAAAAAAGTCTATTTAAAAATAAATATAGAGCAGATGAAGTTTACCAGCCAGCAGGACTGGAGTGTGAATTGCAAAATTGGCTGAAAATAAAAAATAAAAAGTAGAGTTCACCAGAAAGAATAAAAGGGTGCCTAATTCCAGACAGAATGAACAGCATGAGCAAAGACATGGAGACTTCGCATAGTGAGTGGCTTGTACTTCTTGCTAATGGCAGGGAGAGCCATGAAAGGTTTTTAGAGGGGATGGTGGAAACATGACTTAATGTATGTTTTAAATCTAAGGAGTAGTGGCCAGGTAAGAACCAGAGGTAATTATTAGAAGGCAGTGAAATTGGTGGTGGACGTTACCTATATTCATTTTTGTTGTGGGGTAATATTTGCAGCATTAATCTATTTTTTACTATTTAAATTATACTCTAACCTGAGCCCTTTCTTGCTGGCAGAGGGAGACCTCAGATAAACTCATAGATCAAAATCAATTAGTTCTAAATAGTTTTTCTTTTCTTTTCTGTTGCTTTGTTTTCAATTAGTGAAGTGGTAATGGTATTGAGAGCCAAGGCTCGCAGTTGCAAGAACAAGGCTTAGGAACTCAGCATGAAGTTTACACAGTTAACACAAGCTATATCTCTGCTAATATCCCTATTTTATAGGTGAGTAAACAGAGGCATGGAGAGATGAAGTTACTGATCCAAGGCCTTAAGATCAGAATTCAAACCGTAATACAAGGCAGTGTTATTGTTGCCATCATGAGTTTAATTCTGATTAAAGTCAATATTCTCTTGTTTAAGTGGGGGGTGGTTAAGGGAATTACTCTTTCTTTAAGGACTCCCCCACATAGACTTGTGAAAAAAGAAACATGTCTGAAGTAGAATGCAGAACTGATACCTCAGCAAGCTAGGAGTAAAAGTTTGAAAAATGCCACCCTGGGTCAACAGATGGTATGATCCTCACCTCAGTGTTGATAGCAATACCACAGGATTGGAAAGAATCTACATGAAAAAAGCCATGTATTCAATGTTGAATCAAGTGTATGAGTTTCCTGTAGCTGCTGTGACAGGTCACCACAGAAACGATGGCTTACTAAATCAACAGAATTCTATTCTTTCACAGTTTTGGAGGCCAGAAGTCCAAAATCAAGGTGTTGGCAGGGCTGCAGTCCCACCGAAGTTTCTAGAAAGATTCTTTCCATGTCTTTTGTAGATTGGAGTATGTTGTTGAGGAGGGAGAAAGATGAAGGAGAGGCATAATAGTAAATAATAATTATTTCGGTTCCTTACTTGTGCATCATATTAAAGCACCATTTCATAAACTGTCTGGATTAGTCATATACTCTCTCTACCCAAACCTTGTAACATCAATGATATAAGACACCAAGAAGTAACTCTCCCATACTCTAAATGTTAAGTACCTCTAGTACAAGGACATTTTTAGTTAGCCTGACTTTCAATTATCTTGCCAAAGATACATTCATTTTTATCTTGCAAGCTAGTCTGGACACAGAATTAATATAGAGATCTGGTTTGAACATGAAAAAGACAAACTAAGTGACATATATCTATCTGTTCTAATGGCTATGGTAACAGAAATTCTAAGATCAAAAGCAATAGAGTGAGATGGGAGTCCGAATCCTGAGAAAAAGTTTTCTAGAAGCTGCTTTTGTGATGAACCTCAGCAGCTTTCTGATAATGCAAAGCCTCCCAGTGTGTGAGGTGTGAAGCTCTGAATCTCTGGCTTTCTTCTCACTCTAAGAAAAAGAAGCAAGTAAGCCTGGGGCTTCAGACTCGTATCCTTTCCATTCTACCTTTACAATTATCATAATCTCTCATCTCTGAGCTCATCATTATTATTATGGAATTTCCTCAGAATATTGGCGGCTTTCCCTTCAGCTCTGGTGTGGAAATCTTACAGCAGCGCGGCTCTTGTGACTCTTATCTCATAGGTATGCATTGGGAAGCTCTACAAGGTAGCGTTGAGTTTGTGGTTAAACGCGGAGTGTCTCACTGTAGCTACAACTTCATAGCGTGAAGTTGCTGGGAGATTTGGTGCCACTGCCCTGGGCACCCACAGTTCTGAGGCTGCAGATGGAGACAGACCCCAACTCAGCAGATACTGTGTTAGGTGGGGAGTGAGGGGTAGGAAGGAGCCATGAATCATTGCTCGTGTGAGGCTGGGCAGTGGGTGTTAATTTGATTGATATTGATTGACAGCATAAACAGGCATCCCATCTCAATGTGAAGATGTTTGTTTCACATTTTTAATAGCAGGTTTATAGGGATATAATTCAGTATTATGCAGTTTAATAGCTTAATTTGTACTATTCATTGTTTTCTTTTAGTATATTCACAAAAGTTTGTTTGTAGATCACAACTAATTTCAGAGCATTTTTATCACCCTCAAAAGAAACCCTATATATATCAGCAGTCACTTCTCCTTCTCCCACTCCCAGACCATGACACCCACTAATAAAGTTTCTGTCTCTATGGATTTGTCTCTTCCAGACATTTCATATATGTGGAATCACACAATATGTGGCCTTTTGTGTCTGGCTTCTTTCACTTAATGTTTTCAAGGTTCATCCCATGTTTGTAGGATGTTTCAGAGCTTCATGCCTTTTTGTGGCTGAGTAACATTCCATTGTGTGTATATAACACATTTTGTTTATCCTTTCAACAGCTGATGAACACTTGGGTTATTTCTACTTTTGGGCTATTATGAATAATGCTGCTATAAACATTTGTTTATAATTTATTGTGCGGACACACATTATCATATCTCCTGAGTATATATCTAGGAGTGGAGTTGTTATGCCAGATGGTAACTCTACATTTAACATTTTTGAGGAACTGGCAAACTGATTTCATCATTTTACCCTACCACCAGCAATGTTCCGATTCCTCCACATCCTCTCTAATACTTGTTATTGCCCATCATTTTTATTATGGTTATATTTAATAATAGTGGGTATGAAGTGGTATCTCATTGTAGTTTCAATGTGTATTATGCTAACAACAATGATGATAAGCATTGCTTCATGTACTTATTGGCCATTTCTGTATCTTCTTTGGAGAAACGTCTATTTAGCTCCTTTATTTTATATTTGGATTGTCTTTTTATTATCAAATTGTAACAATTATTTAAATACCTGAAAAATAGCCACTTACCAGATAAATGACTTACAAATATTTTCTTGCACATGGTGGATTTTTTCACATTCTTGATGGTGTCCTTTGAAGCATAAACATTTTTAATTTTTATAAAGTTCAATTCACCTACTTTTCTTTTGTTGCTCATGCTTTTGCTATCATCTCTAAGAAAACATTTCCTAATCTAAGGTCATGAAGATCTATTCCTGTTTTCTCCTAAAAATTTTATAGTTTTAACATTTACATTTGGCTTGTGATCCATTTAGAGTTAACATTTGCATGTGGTATGCACTAAGATTCCAACTTCTTTCTTTTCAAGTTGATATCCAGTTATCTCAGGACCATTTGTTGAAAGGACTTTTCTTTCCTTAATTCAATTTTCTTAGAACCCCTCTCAAAAAATAAATTCTCCATAAACGCAAGGGTTTATTTCTGAACACTCAATTCTATGTCATTGATATACATATCTATCCTATGCTAACACCACCCTGTCTTGATTACTGAAGTTTTATAGTAAGTTTCGAAATCAGAAAGTGTGAGTCCTCCAACTTTTTTCTTTTTTTTTTTTCATGATTATTTTAACTATTCTCAGTCCCCAAAGTTTCGCAAATTTGGGGATCAGTTTTTCAATTTCTGCAAAGAGGCCAGGTACAATGCTGATATGAATTGCACTGATTCTTTAGAATAATTTGAAGAGTAAATGGCATCTTCATGATAATAAGTCTTTTTGTCCATGAACATGGGATGTTTTTTCATTTATTTGGTTTTTCTTTACTTTTCTTCAATGATGTTTTGCAGTTTTCAATGTATTAGTGCCCCATTTATTTTATTAAATTTATTTCTAAATATTTTATGCTCTTATTGGTAAAATTTTTAGAAATTTTATCTTTGGAATTGAATTTGTATATTGGCCTGTGTCTTGCAATCTCATTGAATTTATTTATGAATTATAATAGTTTTGTGGTGGGTTTGATAGGATTTTCTATATACAAGATGATGCCATTTGAAAATAGAGGTAGTTTTACTTCTTTCTTTCCAACCTGAATTCTTTTCATTTATTTTCTTGCAGTATTGCCCTGACTCAAACTTCCAGTACTGTATTGAAGCGAAGTGATGAGAATGGATATCCATATCTTGTTCCTAATCTTTGGTGAAATTATGCAATCTTTTTACCATTAAATATGATGTCAGCTGTGGATTTTTCACAGAAGCTCTTTTCCAGGAAGTTTCATTCTATTCCTAGTTTAAGTACTTTTTTATATGAAAGTGAGTTGAATTTTTTTCAAATGCTTTTTCTTCATTTATTCAGCTGGTTATACAGATTTTTTTCTTTTACTCTATTAACATGGTATATTACATAGATTGACTTTAGTATGTTGAACTAACTTTGAATTCTTAGGATATATCCCACTTTGTCACAGTGCTTAAGTCTTTATATGTGCT